TTCAGGGAGGTGGCTGAGAGGGGGCAGGCATTCCGGGACCCCTCCCTCCGCCCCCGTAAACTCGGCCAGTTTGGATCCTGCACCTCTCTCCGTGCACCCCAGGCCTTGTCACATCTGCGGTCGCCAGCAGCAGAGACCTCCTTCCCAGGAACTCACCCTCGCAGCTCACCGCCAACCTAAAAACCTCTGTCCTTTGTCCTGGCCCTAGAGAGCCTGTGCCCCTCCAGGAAGCCAAACCTGACTGCCCTCCTCACCTGCAGACCACGCCCCCAACACACACACACACACACACACACACACACACGGAGCTTCTCTCCCTGCGTTTCCTGACGACAGAGAGCCGCCCAGGCCGTTAGTGGAGGGGCTGGCCGCCTAGGCTGTGTCCTGCAGGCCAAGGTCTGTGCCGGGCACTGGCCAAACAGTGATGGAAAACCCGAGGCCCCTTTCAATGTCTGGAGGTCAAGTTCACTGCCAGAAACTCAAAAGATAAGGATGCTGGGGAGGGCTGAGGGACTTCCTGGAGGAGGCGGCTGATCTGGGCGGGGAGTGTTCTTAGGACACCCTCTACCCTGCAGGGCCCACCCAACTCGGGAACTCTACCTAAAAGCAGGAAAGAGGACCAAATTATGCACATAAAAACAGGATGCCCAATGAAATGTGAATTTCACCTCACTAAGATCATTGTCATGAATCTCACTTTATGATATTAATATCCCTGTTTGCAGGGGACGGGAGTATATATGTGTGTGTATAAAAAAAGAATTTTAGAGGCTGGTGCTGTGGTGTAGCAGGTAAAGCCTCCGCCCACATTCCCGGCTGCTCCACTTCCGATCCAGCTCTCTGCTATGACCTGGGAAAGCAGTAGAGGATGGTTCAAGTGCCTGGGTCCCTGCACCCGTGTGGGAGACCTGGAAGAAGATCCTGGCTTCGGACAGGCACAGCCCGGGCCATTGTGGCCAATTGGGGAGTGAACCAGCAGTTGGAAGACCTCTCTCTCTCTCTCTCTCTCTCTCTGCCTCTCTGCCTCTCTGTAACTCTGCCTTTCAAATAAATAAATCTTAAAAAAAATATCTCTTAGAACAAAGTTCAGTTAAACAACAAATCATTACTCATATTTTTGATGTAATTTTTTTAAAAGTTTCTTCTAAGGGAGATAGAGAATCTTCCACCTCTTGGTTCACTCCCCAAATGGCCGTGAGGGTCAGGGCACAGCCAGGCAGAAGCCAGGAGCCGGGAGCTCCATCCGGGCCTCCCACGCGGGTGCAGGGGCCCGAGCGCTTGGGCCATGGTCCGCTGCTTTCCCAGGCGCATCAGCAGGGAGCTGGACCCGGAGAGGAGCAGCCGGGACTTGAGCTCCAATATAGGATGCAGCTTCGCAGGCAGAAGCTTAACCCGCTGCCCACTTTCCCAAAAGATTTTATGTTGCTTACTGGAAATTCAAACTTAACGAGGCATCCTGTACCTCCACCCAGGAAGTGCACACGGAGGACAACCAGGACTTCTAAGGAGGCTCCCCGGAGACAACGCCCACCAGTCCGGCCCCCGCCCCCTCCCAAGCCCACAGCACTGGGACCCCCGCGGAGCCAGCCCTGGGTGCAAATGCCCATCCCTCCGACACGAGGGCCCTCAGATCCGAGCGGGGCCTGAGCCGAGACCCTCGGGTTGTGGCCGGGCAGGGGTTCAAGCCCCAGCCACTCCTCCTCCGACCCAGCTTCCCGCTAATGCGCCATGTGCGAGGCCCAGAACGGGCTCCTGGCTCCCGCCTGGCCGTTGCCGCCATTTTGGGAGTGAACCAGCAGATGGAAGCCCTGTCTTTCGAATAAAAAATAAATAAAAAGCAGCGCAGCAGTGGGCACCGCAAACGCCCTGAGCCCACAGGAACCAACTCCCAAGACGCCCCGCGTGCACCACAGGCACCGGCCCCGCCACGCGAGGGCGAGGAGGCCGGACAGTAAGGGCCGGTCCCCCCAATGCCCTGCGCGGACTCCCCGCAGGCTGCTTTCCCCGCTCCTAGAATGCTCGACAGTGGGTGTGTGACAAAGGGTCCGGGTCGCCATGGGAGAGCCGGGGGGCCCCTTCCCGGGAAGCACCGGGCCTCTAACGACCGGCACGCTGCCGAGAGGCGGAGTGCCCCGTCTCCCCGCGCTGCCTCAGGGCGCGACAGGACGCGCGGGGGCCACAGAGGGGCACCTGGGTCTCGCCCCCAGGCCAGCGCCGCCCCGACCGCTGCCCCGCTCCTCGGGAGACAGGAGGTGTCACTACCCGTCATGCAGCGGGGCCGTAGCGCCCGCTTCCCGGCATGCCCCGCGCACCCCTTCCCCGGACACTCACGGTCGTCGGCGGCCCCCGCTCCGGCCGGCGGTGGGTGGCGGCTGCACGCCCGGGCCTCGCGCCTGCGCCGCAAGCAGGGCAGGAGCGAGCGCAGGGGGGCGTGAGGCGCCTAGGGCGCTTGCGCGGCGAGACGGACCATTCCCGGCGCGCTGTGGGAGGAGGGGGCCGCGCGAGCCGAGCCCCGCGCCGGGGGGTGCGGTGCGTGGCCCCTCGTCGGCCGGGGCGACTTGGTACGGTCCGCGGCCCGAAGGCCACAGAAGCCGCGGGGCTCGCGCGTGCTGTGTGCGTGTGCGTGGCGGGAAGGCGCCTCACCAGGACGGGGCGCGCCGCGGGCGGAGGGCGCCCGCCCGGCTGGGGTGCGGGGACCCGGGCCCGCTCGCGCGCCGCACCCCACCGCGGGACAATAGGCGGCCTCCCGCACGGGGGAGGTGATTTGCATATTCCCCGGGGAGGCGGGGCTCCCGAGCGCAGTGATTAGCATATGGCGGGGAGGGGCGGTGGCTGTGAGCGGGCGCGTGCGCACTAGGCCCGCCGCGGGGCGCGAAGCGGGCAGGCCGGGTTCTGGTCGAGGATCGGTCCGAAGACAGGCCACAAGGACGCGGACGAGGACCACTCAGCCTCCACGCCCCTCAGTCGGGGTGCACCTTTGGTGATCTTGCAGCAGGCGGCCAGTTGGGTTTCTTTGGCATAGGAGACACAGCCCTGGGCGTTCACAACGTCTGATTAATAGCCCCCCCCCCTACCCCAGGGAGGGTCAGATTTGGGACGGGTGTGCCTGGAACACAGTAGCCGGGAGGGGAGGGCTCCTGCAGCGAGCTCGGGCTCTGTGCCCGGTGCGGGAGCCGCTGCTGTCTCCCCGCAGGAAGTGACTGTCACGTCTCTGGGGTCCCCTTACACTTCTTAAAACCCCCAGCTCCTTATCAGGGGCTCGGAGGCCATCACGTGACCCGCCCTCGCCCACCCTCTGTATCCACTGTCTCAGCTCCGCTTCCCGCACACAGTCTTTGATCTCGCTGTTCCTCTGATCTGCACACAGCTGCTGCTCGGGGCTCTCCACGTCTTGGCACAGACCTCAGTCTGGGGGAACAGCACCTCCACTCGTGAGGCTGTCGAGGAGTCCGGGTGCTCAGGGGGGTGCTGGCTGCTGAGGCTGGCTTGAAGTGTACCCGGGGCTTCCCTGTCCCACCTGCTCCTGTTCGAAGTGTTCTGTCCCATGTCTGTCCTACCCGCGCGTCCCCCTCTGTGGCGTTCTGGCTTGGTCAGTCTGTGCTGAGGTCTGTTTCCCGCGGGAAAGCCTCGCGGTTCACTCTGGTCCTTAGTGCCCAGCGCGGGACCAGACTTCAGATCAGTGCTTAGCTCTCGCGACAGCTAACACTTGCCTGATTCACGGTGGAGTTAGAATACAGTTAGAGTAACTCGTGCAGCAACCCGGTGCCGGGAGAGCTCTGGCCTGATACAGAGGGGATGGGGAGGCGGGAGGGGCGTGGGGCGGGGCAGGGCCAGGGAGGGTGACAGGGTGATGGGGGTGGAGGTGGGGCCAGGGGAGGGCCAGGCCCTGGGGATGGGCTGAGGTAGCTCAGTAGTTATTAAAGAATTGAGACTTCGAGACTGTTTGGCTAAAGAAGTGGCAAGGAAAAACCCACGTTTCCCGGGTGGGTGAGGTGCGCTGGCCAGGTCAGTGCACAGAAACCATCCCACCCCTCCCCCACTTGAACTCCCCTCCCAGGGACAGACACAGCCACCGACACTGGTTCTCTCCTCAGTTTAATGGTGGTTAGTGGGATTGCCAAACCCCCTCCCCAATCCCCTCCCTGCCCCGTACAAAATGTGTGGTTTTCTTTTTTTTTTTTTTTAAACAAGAAAAAGGGGGCCAAAGCCAGGAATAGGGGAGGGGGTTGCAATCTGATATTTTCATACAGATTTTTGATTTTTTTAATATATTATATATAAAACCATAGAGACCATGTATCCCCCCGCCCCCAAACTCCTTTCCCCCTCCCCGGGGGGCCTGGAGGAGAGATGGGAAGGCCCCCCCAGGAGTGGGTGGACAGACAAATAGGGTGGGGTAGACATGGGGGGAGGAGGCAGAGGGAAGGGGGGCCCAGGAGCCCGGGGAAGGGCTGGAGAAAGGGGTCAGGGCCGTCTCCCCCACCGCCCCCTTCAGTTATGACACGAAGACACAGAATCCCTGCTTCCACGCCCGCCCCCCACCCTGCCCCCACCGTGCAAACATGGCTTTGCAAAGAGGTGCCCAGAGCTCTGTGGAACTCTCACAATGGCTGGCGTGGGGTCTAGGACCCCCAGAGAAATCTCTGTTCCCCTTCCCTGCCCACCCACCTTTCCCAGAATCTGACTCCCTCCCCACAAGACCTGGTTCTGTAGCCCTGGGGCCCTGGCCTTCCCCCGGTTCTCGCCCCCTACCCAATCCCTACTGCCCCCTGGACTTGGGGTCTGGACCTTGGGTCCTTGCCCCCTGGGGGCCCCGGACATCTGGGCCCTCACTGGTGGCCCCTGCAGAGATCCAGGCACCCAACACCCCCATCCCTGCCCAAGCATCTGAGGTGTTAGTGGTGGGGGAGAAGCCCACCAGCCCAGACTCTGGTAAATGTCTCTGCTGGTTCCTTGCAGCTGGCAGGGGGGACCCCAGCCCAGGCCCAGGCCTGGGGGGGGGGGGTCAGATGAAGAACTCCTCTTTCCTCTTGTGCCCGTCGCTGCCATTGAGGAAGGCTTCTCTCGCTTCTCCCTGCTCGTCCAAGCCGCTGGCCTCGTGGGTCAGGTAGGAGCCTGGGCAGCCGACAGGTAAGTCCATGGAAGAAGGGACATGGGGACCCAGAGGTTGAGCAGGAAGAGAGACAAGACAGACAGCGGGAGGGCATGGGGCACAGAGGGCGGGAATCAGGCCCGGGAGCCAATGGTGGCAGAGAGACAAGACAGACAGCGGGGGTGGGGCAGAGGGCGGGAATCGGGCCCGGAGCCAATGGTGGCAGAGAGAGAGAGAGACAGACAGTGGGGAGGGAGGAGGGGGCACAGAGGGCGGGAGTCAGGGCCCGGGGAGCCAATGGTGGCAGAGAGAGAGAGAAGACAGACAGTGGGGAGGGAGGCGGGGGCACAGAGGGCGGGAGTCAGGGCCCAGGAGCCAATGGTGGCAGAGAGAGACAAGACAGACAGTGGGGAGGGAGGCGGGAGCACAGAGGGCGGGAGTCAGGGCCCGGGGAGCCAATGGTGGCAGAGAGGGACAAGACAGACAGCGGGGGGTGGGGCACAGAGGGCGGGAATCAGGGCCCGGAGCCAATGGTGGCAGAGAGAGAGAGAAGACAGACAGTGGGGAGGGAGGCGGGGGCACAGAGGGCGGGAGTCAGGGCCCGGGGAGCCAATGGTGGCAGAGAGAGACAAGACAGACCGCGGGGAGGGGGGGCGGGGGCACAGAGGGCGGGAGTCAGGGCCCGGGGAGCCAATGGTGGCAGAGAGGGGTGTGAAAGCAGAGTTAGGAAGACCAGGAACTCCTCGAAGACCCACCCTTATCCCCTTCGGTCTGCGGGGGCCCCTCTACCCCCAGGGAATCCAGTGCTTGGGAAGAGGCGGGTTTTATTCAAATCCACACCCTTAACTCAGCTTTCAAGTCACCCCTTTTAGAGTCCAGGGCCCAAAGCCCAGCCCTCTTTGGAATTAGCCCCAGGTCTTGCTGGAGTTTGAATTCTGGGTGTAGGTGCTGCCCCCTGGACTTTAAAAATTATTTATTTGAAGGACAGAGAAGGGGCTCCCTTCTCACAGGAGCTGCCATGGTGGGGGACTGCCAGGTGGAAGCCAGAAGCCAGGAACTCAATCCAGTGTCCCACGTGGGTGGCAGGGACCTAAGGACTCGCGCCAACACCTGCTGCCACCCAGGATGTGCTGTAGCAGGAAGCGCGAATCCAAACCAGATATGAGATGCCCACATCCCAACCAACGCTTACCTGCCAGGCCCAACACCTGGCTCCGCCCCCTCCCTCTGGGGAACCCAGGACTCTGGGCCCCATCCCTTCCAAATCCACAGCCCGCCACACCCGCCGCGGAGCCCCAGCGTGCACTCACCTTTCTGTCGGACAGAGCACCAGACCATGCCCACTAGCACACATATGATCAGAAACACAAGTAGCGCCAGGATGCCGCCCACGATGGCGTAGGGAACCGACGTCTGGGCCTCCACCACCGCGCCAGGGTCTGCCAGGACAGCGTGCAGGGCCAGGTCATTGTCCAGCCCCAGTCGCCTCCAGGCTCTTAAGCCATTCTGCACACATCCAGCCCTGCCCCTCGGAATGCCGCATCTGGCAGTGTGGCCGCCAGTTTACCATCAGAGGTAAACTCCTATGCTTATTCGCTTATTCGGTGCTCGGGGGGGGGGCATTCCACCCGTTTTGCATATTTAGCGCGTGTATCATCGCAGCAGCTCGGTTAGCTACGTGCTGCTGTCGGTCGCCCTTTTACTGATGGGAAAACTAAGGCGCAGACAGATCAAGTGCCAGCAGAGTCAAATTTGGAGTCCGACGGGCAGCCTGGCCCCAGGTGGCTGTGCACCCTCCAAACACCTGCGCGGCCGGGGCCCCGCCCCATACACCTGCGCCCCGCCCCGCCCTCACCGTAGACCACGAGCACGTAGAGCGCCCTCGCGTGGCCGTGCTTGTTGGACGCCTCGCAGGTGTAGGTGCCGTTGTCCGCAGACACCAGGCCCGGCAGCGTGAGCGTCTCCCCCACCGCCTCGGCCCGCTCGGGCAGGGACTCATTCCCGCGGTTCCAGCGGATCTGGTTGGCCTGGGGAGCGGGGCGAGGGGGAGCACGGTGAGCGCTAGGAAGCCAGGCCCAGCACCCAGATGTGACTTCGAAGGAACTTAGGCAGGCACCCCTCGCCCTGCAGGGACCTCCAAATAAGAGGACCTGGACCTGCCCCTTCCTTCCCCAGAGGCCGTCAGTCACCGGCCCAGCTCCCACCGATCGCCAGCGCCGCGCCCCGGCCCTTCCACTGTCCCGGTGCTCTAGCCGCTGCCCCAGGACAGGCCCGAGCTGCCTGTCTGCCCAGCCCTCGGCTCTCCAGAG